TTATCCCACAGGACTCATCACCACTGCCAATCATTTCTCCTAAAGCTAAAGCAAAAATTAACTCTTAGGACAACATGGGCAGAGAAGCACAACTAGACCTTTATCAGTAAGGAAGATGCTATATTCCAAAGGAATTTCAGTGTTCATTTAGCATGTGCTGACAAGATCCAAGGAAGCATGGGCAAAAACAGGTTTTGATGATGTAACCTTGGAAGAGGATTGGATATAAAGCTGAATGGGAAAGAATTCATTGTCATGAGGGTAGACAGGTTTCATATTTTGGCAAGAACACTTGGAGCCAGGGAATCTGGTCCCATATACTCTAATAGTGTTTGGAGACTCTTTGTGGAGCAGCATGTCCTGAGGACTGTTTCAGGTTTTGACAGCAGTGGTCTTCAGTAGGAGGTTCTGAACTGAGGGACAGTCTATGAAGGTTAACCCAAAGGCCCCGTCTAGGAGAGCTATCTAATTAATTGATCTAGATATGCCTCTGAAGAAATTTGATTTTTAAGAACTTCAATGTCAAAGCTTAATTTGCAAAATAGTCTCCATGTCTCAATAACTTGCAATGAAATTTATTTTGAATGACCATGTCAGCATCAAAGACTATCTCCTATGTATACTCTAATAAGTAGCATCTACAATCACTTCCTGCTTATAAAGTCATTAAGTAACTTTCCTAAGACCAGTTAGATTGGATAAGTAGATTTCCATTTTCCTGCATGGACTCTCACGGTCAGCTCAAGTTATGCATCGGGAAAATGGTCTGATAGTACTGGCTTTATATCAGATACCAAAATTAGCCCCTGGTGAAACTGGGTTGTGCCATACAACAAAAGTTACAGTGTCCTGTACATACTTGCTGACTTGTTGGCTATCTCTTTTCATTGGCATATCCAACAGAGTTCTAGTTTACAATACTCAAGAATGTATCTATCAAAATTAGTGAGGGCCAGTGTTACCTCTGCCCTACCCCACCCCTGCCTTCTAGCCAACAAATGTGTCAAGGCAGAAGTTAATTGGTTTTGCATTTACTTTTGCTTAGTGGCTTGCAATTAGCAGACAGTTTCTCCAAATTCTGAGACACCTGAGACTAACTCACTGATTACATGGCTAGCAGCAATCTTTTAATGATGGAAAAAAACCTACATCCGAGTCTGGGGGAGCAGTTCATTTTTTATCATTTCTGATTCCAAGAGAATTTAGTTGAGAAAAGTCACATCTACTGAATGTCAATTTACATGTCTTAGGTTTTAAATCAAATGAGAATATGTCAGATCCAGTATGGCAGAAGAATAACTCAGAATGATCTATACGAGTTTTTGACTCCTGGAACCTATTGTGGGAACAGTGCTGATTCTCATGTACTGGGTGGGACAATATTAAACATTACCAAGGCATCTTTATTCCAGATGCATTGTGATGTCCCTGGGGAAAGGACTGGAAGTCATTAAACAAATAAAGATACAAGTTCTCTCTCAGTCACTATCAATACATTTAGGCCTAATGCATTCGTTATCTTCAACTAGATAATTAGGTAATTATCTTCAACTAGATAATTCTAATTATCTTAGAGTATTATCTTCTGAATAATTTGCCAAATTATCAGGAAAAATATGGTTAGAGGAAAACTGACACAATTTAATGAAATGGTGAAATTGGTATAGACTTCAGAAGCTTTTCATTTTTTGCCAAATGAAGCTGAGCTCATCAACTAATTATAGGTATATACTGAGCCCTTATGCTGTGGTCACATTACTACAGGTAAATAAAGCAGACAAAAAGGAAAGCGAAGAATGAGTACCTGCATTTGAAATTAATTTCAAATTTTAAAGTTTACAAAGGAAGAATATCACAAATATCCAGTGTGTTCTAAAGCAGAAATTCTCAAAACTCTTATGAAATTAAGACCCCAAAGATGTATCACATGTAGCTAATATCTGTATTAGTCAACACATCATTCCTATAATGAATACCTGATGAAGGCTGGTATTATTGTAAAAATACATGGATTTTGACTCATGATTTTAGAGGCGCAAGGTCTATGGTCGCATCTGACGACAGCTCTGCCGACAAAGTCCCAAGGTGGCACAGAGCATCATCACATGGCAGGAGATCAGAGTGTGCATCTGCTTTTCAGGTGAAGTCAGGATTCAGTTATGGGGACCTCACCCTACTGTCCTAATTCAATCTCATCATTTACTAGAGGTACCATCTCTGAATCTCAAGGTGGGATAAAGTTTCCACTGTCTTAAATGCAATTAGCATAATACGTTGAGGCTTAAACTTTTAAATGAATTTGGGAGAAAACTCATATCCAAAACCCAGTAATATCTGCTAGAATTTGCCATGTTAAAAGTCAAAGTTGAGGCAATTAAAATTTTTATTTATTGGTTTAAAATAGCAAAAATACAGCCATTATATGTTAATAGCACATTTCATGAAAAATAGCTGTTTTCTAAAGCAAAAAATTAATAGGAAGAATTGCCTTATTTAATTGTAAATCTTGTTAGTGCCTGATTTAGAAAAGACAGCTGTATTCTTGCATCTGCTTTGACACTTAGTCTGTTGCAAAATCACATACCACATAGCCTGGGATATTTCACTGTACACTCATCAGAAAATGAGTCTAAAATGGACAATAATATCTTGTATTATTATGAAATAGTTTTGTCTTCATGGGCCCCCTGAAATGGTTTCAGGAGTCCACAGAAGTCTCTGACCACACTTTGAAAGCCCCGGTGGTGAGTAGAGGTGGTAACTCAGTATTATGCACTAATACGAAGTTCAAAAATGCAGACACTTGATTGACATGGTAATTATGCTGAACTCTATTCTTGTTATTGAAATCTGCATTCTAAATGTCCGTATTAAAATACTGACCTAGTGTTTAGCAAAATGAACACAATCTGGGGCTGGCTTTATGCCAAGGCAATCAAAGCCACCACCTGCAATAATGGCATCCTATATGGATGCCAGTTTGTGTCCTGGTTGCTCCACTTCCAATCCAGTCGCCTGCTGATGACCTGGAAAATGCAGTGGAGAGAGGCCCAAGTGCTTGGGCCCTTGCTACCCACATGGGAGACCTGGAAGAAGTTCTTGGTTATGAACTTCGACTTGGCCTACCCTGGTTGAAGTGGCCATTTGAGGAATGAACCTGTGGATAGAAGATTTTTCTCTCTTTCTCTCTCTTTTCTCTATAACTCTGACTTTCAAAACAAACAAATAAATAAATGAATACAACCTATAGGAAGTTTAAGTATATTTCATATTTCTATATATAGGGAGGTATATGCAAACATATATATGACTTTTTGCTGTCTATCTTGTTAAATTTTCAGCAAAAGACGATCGTTTTCATTTTAGTTTTTGTTTTCTTGTACAACATTGGTTCAACTTCAGAATGTAGCCTCAGGGAGCCAGCGTTGTGGCGTAGCAGGTAAAGCCGCCTGCAGCACTGGCATCCCATATGGGTACAGGTTTGAGTCCCAGCTGCTCCACTTCTGATTCAGCTCTCTGCTATGGACTGGGAAAGCAGTAGAAGATGGCCCAAGTACTTGGGTCCTGCACCCACATGGGAGACCCAGAGGAAGCTCCTACCTCTTAGTTTCAGATCGGTGCAGCTCCGACTGTGTGGCCATTTGTGGAGTGAACCAGCGGATGGAAGATTCTCTCTCTCTCTCTCTTCTGCCTCTCTGTAACTCTGCTTTTCAAATAAATAAACGAATCTTAAAAAAAAAAGTAGCCTTAAGCCTTCCTCATTGTACTAATTATCATTCCACTTTATTATAAACACTTCAACTTTAGAAGTTCACTATCTGAAAAATTATTTTTTTGGTAAGGAGCTGCCATGTGATGCAGCATTTAAGGCAGTGCTCTTAAGACATCTAAGACTGCGTTTAAGGCTGGTGCCGCAGCCCACTAGACTAATCCTCCGCCTTGTGGTGCCAGGCACACCGGGTTCTAGTTCCGGTCGGGGCGCCGGATTCTGTCCCGGTTGCCCCTCTTCCAGGCCAGCTCTCTGCTGTGGCCAGGGAGTGCAGTGGAGGATGGCCCAAGTGCTTGCGTCCTGCACCCCATGGAAGACCAGGATAAGTACCCAGCTCCTGCCATCGGATCAGCGCGGTTTGCCGGCCACAGCGCACTGGCCACGGCAGCCATTGGAGGGTGAACCAATGGCAAAAGAAGACCTTTCTCTCTGTCTCTCTCTCTCACTGTCCACTCTGCCTGTCAAAAAAAAAAAAAAAAAGAAGAAGAAGAAGAAGACTGCATTTAAGACAGATGCAACATTTAAGACCCACATCGGAATGCCTGGGTTTGAGTTCCAGCTCCACTTCCAATTCCAACCTCCTTCTAAAGTGCACTTGGGAGGGAATAGGTGATGGCTCAAGTAGTTGGATCCCTGCTGCTCACGTGGGACAGCTGGATGGAGTTCTTGACTCCTGGCTTTGGCCTGACCCAGCATTGGCTGTTGCAGGCATTTAGGGAGTGAACTTGTAGATATAAAATTTCTGTCTGTCTGTATCTGTCTCTCTGCCTTTTAAATAATTTTTTTAAAAAATGAAAAAAAAATCTTACACAGGTGCATAAAAGGACTATTATTTTTCCAACTGAAATCTAGGAATAAAGACTCCGTATCTTCTGCACCACCCCTCCCTTTTGTTCCACTTTTCTAATGCTTTTGCTCAGAATATTCAGAAATTAAAATGATCAAAGGAAAAGTGTTCCTGAATGACACCAGGAGAGACAAGGACTGTTGATATTCAAGGAATGCAAGGATCCCAAGATGATCATTCTTTTTTTCTCCCCATATTTCATTTCTCACTTAACTAGCCTGATAAAATCCCCATGTTTTGGGAAGGAATGTACTTAGCTCTACAAGCAGGCTTTGTGATGGCTGGATAACAGGCTGCTTATTTTGTGGATGGCTCTTTGGTACAAAGAAGCATGTGTTGCTAACAGTAACACAATAGCATATCAGGTAATAGGAAACCCATGAATAGAAAGAAAGAAAACAGTTGTAGAACCAGAAGACAACCTGCGTTTCATGTCAAGGACAAAAGCAGCCTGTTCAGCTCTGCCATATAGAACTGCAGTAGTATTCATGACACCTCTACAGCTTCAAGTACATGACGTCTTCACAAAGTTCATAGAAAAGACATGTTATAAAAAAAGGTCTATACTAATTAAAGAAAAATGTTTTGTCCCAAAGTTAATTCCATTTTCCCATGAGTTTAATGTTTTGGTTTTGCATTGTTCATGGGTCATTCTTTTTTATCTAGTGTTTGATATAGTCATATAGTTTTTTTTTTCCATATAGTTTTTAAAGGGATGTGAACAATAACCTGCTTCAAGTGTCTAGGAAGATGTCTTCTTCCTTTCTTGTTTTTCAGTTGCAGTTTCTAGAACTCTTGAGGAGTGCAACGTGAAGCCTCATCGTAGAGCTGGGAACAGGTGTTACTGAGTTTGCTGGAGCAGTGGAAGTCCAGCTCCCAGAAACCCAAGCTTGGCTCCTTCTCTACAACATGCAAATCACAGTCATGGAGCAGAGTCCAAACTGCATGGATTACTCTTCACAGTGATGGAAATTTTTGCACCCTGAAAGAAGAAAAATGCAAGTTCCCAATTCCCACTCAATGCACTAAACTTACATGTTGGTGAAGCAAGTCTTCAAGAGTAACCGTAAAAGCTTTGACAGTGATCATAATACCAACAGTCGCTTACATGATTGGAAAAACATCTAATTCATCTAAAATTTGTGTGTCATCATTATGCTAGGAAAGTGGAAAGATATTTTAAAATAAGATTAAAGCAGAAACATGTTTGCCTTATAGCTGCTGTTTTATTTGGAAGCACTCTAAAGAAGCATGGCCAAGTTGAATCATTCATCTTTGACTCAATTTCCATCTTCAGACTGTTGCTCACTAAACATCATGAACTGCACACAACACAGATATCTCAGAATCTGCTTTCATGTTTGTTTTTTCTCTCCAGTCCATTTTTTATAGAGTCACGAAATAGACATTAAAGGACAACATCTGAAGTTCTGGAAATTGAATCAGCTAGTAACACTTGCAGAGATTACCTCGTTTGTGACTTATCTGATTATTCCGATGAGATCCACAACCTCCCGTCCGGGATGTCCTTGTCCTTCCCTTGGTGTGGGAGCCCCAGCAGCCTTCTCTGGAACACGCAGGTTAGGTCAGGCCCTAGAACGTGGGGGTATTGGGAGAGCAGGCTTGTCAATTTGCTGCTGATGGAGCACAAAGGGAGAAAGGAGAGGCTGCTTTGAACAGCCACCCGCGGCTGTCGGGCTTCCTATGGCTGTTTTGAATTTCCTAGGAGGAGCAGGGACACCTAATTTGATCCCTGGTTTATTTTCTTCTGCCCGTTTGTGAGAGCCCAAATCCTCAGGACAGGATCACGCCTTGACTTTGTGGGTATCCAAAACACGGGCTCTCTAAGTGAAATTGCACAAGATGCCATTTGTCACCCATACAAACCTAGTGTCCCTTTCTTCCTCCGAATTCTCCACCCTTGGGAAAAATAATTTATAAAAAATAAATACGGGGCCAGCACCATGGCTCACTTGCTTAATCTTCCACCTGCCGCACCAGCATCCCATATGGGCTCCGGGATCTAGTCCTGGTTGCTCCTCTTCCAGTCCGGCACTCTGCTGTGGCCTGGGAGGGCAGTGGAAGATGGCTCAAGTGCTTGGGCCCTGCACCCGCATGGGAGACCAGGAGGAAGCACCTGGCTCCTGGTTTTGGATTGGCACAGCTGCTCCGGCCGTAGCAGCCATTTAGGGGGTGAACCAACGGAAAAAGGAAGACCTTTCTCTCTGTCTTTCTCTCTCACTGTCTAACTATGCCTGTCCAAAAAAAATTGGGGGGGGGGGGGAGCCGTCCATATGCTTTACTCAGCAATTGCCTTAAGTAGCACTCTGTTCTCAGAATCAACCCTTAAGGCATTCTGGTTTGACTGAAAAGCCCAGGTGAGCATTTCAGGCAGGGAAAGTCAAGACACTGTGGCAAAAACTAAGGCAGTGGAGGATGGCCCAAATGCTTGGGCCCTGCACCCGCATGGGAGACCAGGAGGAAGCACCTGGCTCCTGGCTTCAGATCAGTGCAGTGCCAGCCATAGCAGCCATTTGGGGAGTGAACCAACGGAAAAAGGAAGACCTTTCTCTCTGTCTCTTTCTCTCTCTCTCACTAACTCTGTCAAATAATAAAAATAAATAAATAAATAAATACTTTTTTCTTGGCTTTTTTGTTTGCTCATTTTCTTGCTGTCTTGCTTTTTCTTTCTCTGTTTCTCTGTCTTCTATTTTTTTTTTCCTACCTAAAGTGAAATAGTGGGACTCTAGGTGTCCAAGTAATTTGCAGGTCACTGACTGCCTTCATTTTCTCTCCCCTTCTTTGTGTGGCTGGACCAGGCCTCAGTGCACCTAGGCCTTAAAGAAACAGAGTGTGAATTCTCAGCTCCCAGATTAGCCCTGCCTGCTGACCTTCCACCAATTCCCCAGATTTTTCATTTCTTCTGTCTTCCCAGAGGGCACTGTTTCTGTTTTGTTTTGTTAAGAATAAGGTTTCAGAGCTATGTTTTCCCTGCTTTTTAGGGATTTAAAAACTTATTTGATTTTAATCATCTGTATAATAAAAACCTTTTTTTAACATTTGAAAATAATCTTCACGTTATCAAATAGGATGTTTAAATTCATTTTTACTATATTTAATGAAAATCATATCTATTTAGTCATTTTATTATTTACCATGATTTCTGAGCAAACTCTTTAGATCATTGTTCTGAAACTAGTGCTATGGCATAGCAGGTTCAGCTGCCACCAGAAGCTCCAGCCTACCATATGGGCACTGGTTCAAGTCCCAGGTGCTCCACTTCTGACCCAGCTCCCTGCTATGCAACTGGAAAAGCAGTGGAAGATGGCCCAAGTGCATGGGTTCCTGCACCTATATTGGAGATCTAGAAGAAGTCCCTGGCTCTTGGCTTCTGCCTGGCCCAGACCTGACTGTTGCAGTCATTTGGGGAGTGAACCACTGGATGAGAGACTTCTCTCTCTCTCTCTTCCTCTGCCTCTCTCCATCTCTGTAACTCGACCTTTCAAACTAACAAATAAATCTTTTTTTTAAAAAAAAAGAGCATTTTCTTATTATGTTCAAATAAATGACTGTATATTAAAATGCAACATGAATTTACACATTAGAATATAAAAATATTCAAAAACAGATTTAATGAAACAATATTTGTAATTCTTGCATTTTGCACTTAATAAATTATTTTTGTAATTTCCTGGTTTATTTGTAAATAAAAAGACACAAGAAAAACATTCAGGGTAATGAAAAATACAGATAACACATTCTGAGTGAGAATAAAATGTTTTTACAACAAATTTAAAACTCAAATGAATATAACACTTTCTGTTGTCCTCTTCTTAAACAGTATTTTGAATAATAAAGCTATGTAAGAAAGTTGGTGTGGCAACTGGAAATTGTGGATATGGAGGAAAGAAACAGGAGAAAAGTAGAATTATAAATTTCATCTTTGCCATTAATTTGCATTTAAATGCTAATATTTCTTTTTTTTAAGTTTTATTTAATTGAAAGGCAGTCCATCAGAGAGATGAAGAGACAGGAGGAGAAAGCGAGATCTTCTACCCACTGGTTCATTCTCCAAATGGCTGCAACAGGCAGGGCTGGAACAAGGAGACTGGAACTCCATCTGGGTCTCTCATCTGGATGGCAGGAACTCAGGTACTTGGGCCATCTCTGCTGCCCTCTCAGGTGCATTAGCTGGGAGCTGGATCAGAGTCACAGTATCTGGGATTCTAACCAGTGCTCTGATATGGGATGGCAGTGTGCTAAGCTGCAGGTTAACCCACTGTATCAAAACACTAGCCCTAATATTAATGTTTCTTATGTTTGCAAGCAATGATTTACTCTGAGATAGAAATCTAACAATTTTTAAGTTGGAGTAAAAAGAATTTGAATCACTGTTCTGTTCAAAATCACCATGGGAGCCAGGGTATCTCAGCTCAGCTGTTGGAGACCTGAATCAGGAACAAGCTCATGTGGACTTTTCCAGGCCCTGTGTATGCCCACTCTGCAGCCAGTTTAAGTGTCTTTAATGGAGTGATTTCTAAGGAGTGGGTGGAAGGGACATAACTGACTTGAGAGAAAGAGATTGTCATGTAAGTGATTGTGCTCTGTGCAGCCTAGTGCTGCCTTACCATCAAACTTTCTTATGAAATCTTAGGCAGCATGAAGGTAGAGCTTACAGTACATGTGACTATGTTTGTTGCTCAAACTTTTATCTTTTCTTTTTAAAATTTATTTTTATTTTTTAAAAAGACAGAGACAGAGAAAGAGAGGTCTCCATCTGCTGTTCACTTTCCTGATGCCTGAAACATCCAGGGTCTGCCCAGAACCTGATCTGGGTGGCAGGCACAGAAGTACTTGGACAGTCAGCTGCTACCTTCCAGGGTGCACATTAGCAGGAAGCTGGAATAAGAGCAAAGCCAGGGACTCAACTCCAGGCACTCTAATACGGGATGCAGGAATCCCAGCTGCCCTGGCTTGCTATGGTTTGGATAAAGCTACGGTTTGGATGAAGAGAGCAAATTTTTTTTTCTTTTTTGCTTCTTTGAAATGGCTATGCATTCAGACTTTTTTTCTGATTAAGTAAACTCTTTCATCACGAGCAATTCAAAAATTCTCAAAAGCACACGTTTTCGAAAAATCAGTTTTTTCTATCATGCTTACCCAAAGATTTAGTGATTGAATTTTGAGGTCCACTTATTTATCTTTCAATTCATCATCAATGAGCTGTTAGTCTAAAAATGGTTTGACAGTATGAATTATTTCCATATGAGCATTTCTATCCCATGTGATTAAATATTGGTTTACATGTTTTGTATGCATTTTGGGGGATAATGTTATTTCACTATATAATTTTATAAGCAATTTTCACTTGGTTTATTTTTATAAATAAATCTGTGATAAATACATCTATGGATATACATATAAATCTGTATAATCTCTCATCTGTTGGGGGTAAGTTTTGAAAATGGCATTGCTTGATCAAAAGAGGTCTACATTTTAAATATTTTTTAAGTATTGCCATTTATCCCTTCATCAGAGTTTATTTCTTTCTGTGAATGCCAGCTGCGTTGCCAGGAACCATTCTGAGCTCCAGGTGATACAGCTGTGAGCGAGAGACCAGTCCATGCTCTTAGGGGTATCCACTGTGTGGGGAAATGGCTAACAGATAAGGTAGGAAAGTGAAATACACAAGAGCTGTGGGGAAGATGGAAGCCAGAGAGGTGAACAGAGAGCCTGTGGGAGAAAGAGAGGAGTAGGTGCTATAGTTATTTGTAAATGAGTCAGCTGGGAAAAGCTTCGGTCTCCACTTCGAGAAGAGGGTATTTGGATAGAGTATGAAAGAAAGTGACTCTACATGTAGCGAAAAGCCTTCCAGCCATGGTGAGTGCAGGCTCCACAGCCCTCAGCCAAGCATGGGCCTCGTCACTGGAGGGGAGAAGGAAGAGTCAGAGTGGGCAGAGCCAATGGGAGAGGAGACAAGCCATGGGGTTTCCAGTCAAGGATGGAGGGTGTGAAGGGCCGCTGTCAAGATGTGGCTTGTACTCCAACTCAGATGGAATGTCATCTAGGGGTTCAGGTACAGAAGTGACCTGATTGGATTGGGCCTCCTGACTCCTGCATTAAGACCAGAGTTTTCAGGGTAGAAACAGAAGCAGGGAGTCCAGTCAGGAGACTGTTGAAGTCCGTGGAAGAAAGGACATCAGTTGGACACAAGTAATAGCCACAAAAATGATGAAAATGGGTCAAATCTTGAAGATAAAGCTGACAGGACTTAATGACAGATTGGAAGTAGAGAATGAGAGAAAGGAAATAATTAAAAAAAAAAAAAAGAATGTATGTTTCCTTTGTGTCCAGTGCCACTCACTGGAAGACAAAGACTACGAGGAGCAGGTTTGAGGAAGAAAATCTGGATTTCAGCACTGGATGTGATAAGGTGGGAATTTTACAAGTGCTGACTAGACAGTCTGAGTGGAGAGAAAAGTCAGATGTAAAGAAATACATTTTGGAGTCATCAGCATTCCATCAGTTATTGCTTTGTGAGAAACAATCACGAAATCTTGGGGAGAGTACAAGAGTTTATTTCTCACAGCTCC